ACCCCGCAGCAGAACGGCATGGCGGAGCGGGAGATGAGGACGGTGGTGGAGTCGGTGTGGATAATGCTGCTGCACATGGGTGTGCAACACCACTAGTGGCACCTCGCTCTGCGGCAGGCCGTCTGGGTCCGCAACTGCCTTGAGAGGTCGACGCTGCCGCCGGGGACGACGCCGTACCAGCTGCTGACCGGGAAGAAGCCCGACTTGTCGCTGGCGCGGGTGTGGGGCTGCATGGCGCAGTTCCTTGTCCCTGAGCAGCAGCGTGGTGGGAAGCTGAAGCCTAAGGCCAGGTGGGGCCTGCACCTTGGCGTGTCCGCGGCGAGCAAGGGCTGGGAGCTCCTCGACGTCGACACCGACCGACTGGTCACCACGTCGGACGTGGTGTTCTACGAGGAGATGTCGCTGGCCGAGTGGAAGACAGAGCATGGGCCGGTGTCCGGCCGCTTGTCGTCCACCCCACCCTCTGACACCTCGTCGGCGACGCTGCCGCTGCTTGCCGAGGTCGGTGAGCTTGCTACTAAGGACGTCGAGGACGTCCGCTCCCCTACCCCTCCCCCTCCGACTCCTGCCCCTCCCCTTGTGGCGGACCTGCGTGGGCTGCCCTCGGTGTCGGCCTCCGGCGATGAGGGGAGTAATGGGCCGTCGCCTTCAGCCAAGTGCATTGCCGGTGGCCGACGTGACGAGCGGCAGGTCGACATGGGTTTGCAGTCGACGCCGACAAGGGAGGAGCAGGTTGAGAAGCAGGTCGAGGAGCAGTCGGCGGTCGGGCCGTCGGCAGGAAAGCCGACCACAGGGGAGCAGTCGGCTGGGACGCCGGCTGAAAAGCAGCAGGACGTTGAGGGCAGCGACGATGGAGGGGACGCCGAGGAGGTCCAGCAGGGACCACGGCGTTCAGGCCGACTTGGGAGGCCGCCTGACTTCTTCGTCCCCGCTGCCTTCACCACGGTGTATGACGTGGACGATGACGACGACCTGCTGTACGATGACGCCGAGGATGATGAGGAGTTTCCGGAGCTAGACCCCGACATGCTAGCCGGCCCCGAGCATCGTTGGGACATCTCGACGATGACGGTGAAAGAGGCATTGGCGAGCTGGAAGGGCCCGGCGGTGAAGGCCGCCATGGAGGAGGAGATTCGCAGCCTCATCAACATGGGCACTTGGGAGCTGGTCGAACGCCCACCGGGGGTGAACGTCATGAAGAACCGGTGGGTGTTGACGATGAAGTACCACATCGACGACACCGTCAAGCGAGAGAAGGCAAGGCTGGTCGTGAAGGGCTTCACACAGGTGTACGGCGCCGACTACGACGAGACGTTCGCGCCGGTGAGCAGCTACGTCACGTTGAGGATCTTCCTAAGCATCGTCGCTGTCCTCAACCTCAACCTGATGCAGCTCGACATGAAGAACGCCTTCCTGCAGAGCAAGCTCGATTGGGTGCTGTACATGTCCCAGCCGGACTACTTCAACGATGGAACCGGCCGGGTGTGTAAGCTGCTGAAGAGCCTGTACGGGCTGAAGCAGTCGCCGCTGTTGTGGTACTTGGCGCTCAACGATGTGCTGGTCGGCGCCGGGTGGAAGAAGAGCCAGGTCGACGAGGCTCTTTACTTCAAGGTCGGCGAGGGTGGAGTGGCCTGCTGGGTGCTGGTCTACGTCGACGACCTGCTTGCCGCCAGCAGCAGCGCCACGATGCTGAAGGAGCTGAAGGAACTGCTGGAAGCCGCCTTGGAGGACTGGTTGGCGTCCCGGACGCCTGGACGGCGTCCTGGGAAGCTGGACGCCGAGCTGGGCGTCGCCACGACTACCCGGGCGCCTGGTCGACGTCGTGGGCACCTGCACGGCGCTCTGGAAGGCCAGACGCCGACCTAGGCATATGCACGGCGTCTCGGGGGTCCGGACGCCGACCTGGGCGTCCCGGGGGCCCCGACACTGATCTGGGTGTCTGGTCGGCGTCATGGGAGGAGGGACGCCGCTCTGGAGGTTTGGTCGGCGTCCTGGGCGTCTGGACGCCGACCAGGGGGTTCGGAAGGCGTCCTGGGCGCCTGGACGCCAGAATGGGGACGCCGGGCATGCGTGACCGGCTACGGACTGCGCGGGTCGACCTCGGTCGACCCGGTCGATCGGGATACCCGGGCGACGTGCGCGAGTGTCGCCAGGGTGGAGACTGCGAGGCCGACCTCGGGGGTGGTATCCTGAAGTCGACGTGGCTGGTGGGCACAGTCGCTGGCATGGGGTCTGCCAGGCGTCTGCATTGTGCACTTGACAGGGAAGTGCGCACCAACCAGCTGCGCGCACCTGCCAAGCACGTGCACCGTTGTCCTGCGGGTGCAACGCTGGGCAGCCGACTTGGTGAAGCGCTAGCACACCGTGGACTTGCAACGTTGGCGAACCGCTACCCTGCTACGCTGGAGCGGTGCGAGCGCTGCTGCGCTGGAGTGCGGTCGACCGTGCTGCGCTGGAGGTCGACCAGCAGCCTAGCTAGCTCTGATGTAGTCAATGTTGCCAATGTTGTTACTATCATTGTTGTCATGTTTTCCTAGTGAAACTCTTGCAAATTCTCCCCATGAACTAGCAAGGAAACGACTAAGTGAACGAACGCAGAGATCACACGAGCACACGTGCCTAGCCCGTAGCCTAGCTCCCGTTGCTGCAGTTATCTCCGCAGGAGCTGCTGGAGGTGCTGGTGCTGTTAGAGCTGGAGCTGCTGCAGGTCCTGGAGCTGCTGGAGCTGGAGGTGCTGCTGGAGCTGGCGCTGCTGGAGGTGCTTGAGCTGGAGCTGCTGGAGGTACTGGAGCTGCTGGAGCTGGAGGTGCTTCTGGAGCTGGAGTTGGAGTTGCTGCTGGAGCTGGTGCTGTCAATGCTGGTGCTGGAGGTGCTGTGCGGCCGCGACCGTACTTCGTTCCACTTCTTCAGCTGGTTCTTGGTCTCCCGCCTTCTACTGACCTTGCTCCTCCCTTCCTATGTCCACCCCTGACCAGTCCCAGCTACAGCTACTGCCAGCCTCCCCGCTGCCTGCTCCTTCTCCTTACACTAAGTAGATTGGAGATCTTACTGAGTGTCGTGGGCTTGCGTCTCGTCCTGCGTCGACTGTTCGCACTCTTCGTCGTGTTCTACGTCCATGTCCTCCTCCTGTCCTCGGCACGCACCAGATGGCACTTCATCCTTCCTCTGTTCCACTGCCTGTCCCTCTGCCGTCTCCTCCTGCGTCCTCCCTTGCTGACGGTCCCGATCCGGAGTCTGACTCCCTTCGTGCTGCTAGACCTACTGTCACGCGTCTCCTGGTCACTATTGTCAATGACCCTTACATTGAGTCCACTGCTGCGTCCGCCTTAGTTGCTGAGCTTGCCGACTTTGCTGCTCGCTGTCGTCTAGACTACACCGCTAGCCTTGTTGCTGAGTCTGAGTCTTTCTGTCCTCCGTCCGTCGGGGGTGAGTGTGCCCTTGGCACGGACGTCCTTGAGGACAGGGAGGAGGACTTTGAGTGTTTTGCTGCTGCTGTACCTCATCTTGTGTCCATGCTGATTGCACATGAGGGAGACCCGGATGCACCAGACATCCCGAACCCGCGCTCTTACACAGAGGCTATAGAGGGTCCCTACTCCTCTCAGTGGCAGTCAGCCATGGACGCAGAGATGGCATCTTGGAAGTCCACAGGCACTTACGTCGATGAGGTTCCCCCACCTGGGGCGAACATCGTCAGTGGCATGTGGATTTTTAGGGTGAAGCCGCCGCCGGGTTCTCCGCCTGTCTTCAAGGCGCGTTACATTGCACGAGGGTTTAGTCAACGACAGGGAGTTGACTTCTTCCAGACCTTCTCCCCGACCCTGAAGATGACCACTCTTTGGGTGCTGCTCCACGTCGCCGCTTAGCGTGACTACAAGCTTCACTCTCTTAACTTCAGCACTCCTTTCTTACAGGGCAGCCTGCATGAGGAGATCTGGCTGCGCCGCCCACCTGGCTTCACTGGGTCGTTTCCTGCAGGTACCAAGTGGAGCCTCCGGTGGTCAGTCTACGGTCTCTGCCAGGCGCCTCGCGAGTGGCACAACATACTGAGGATGACTCTTGCGGCTCTTGGGTTTGCTCCTTCGACTGCTGGCCCGTCGCTGTTTCTACGCACCGACACTTCACTGCTGCCGTTCTAAGTGAACAACACACATTCTTCAATTCTCCTTGGTGACAGCCACCTCAACACCCGCTTGGCCTAGGCTACTAAGCCTAGGCCCTTAGTAAACCCCGGTTCCTAGTTAGCTTAGTATTGTAACAGGGTATAGAGCGATTAAGTTTTTGACCTAAGTTAATGGGCCCACCCATTCGTGGCACGGCGCTCGCTGCGACGGGCACGGCGGTGAGCCGGCTGCGTTTCCCTCGTCGCTAGCCCGTCGGTTTTTTTTTTCCCTCGTCGCCTGCCCGTCGCCAGCCCGTCGCGTTTTCCCCCCGTCTCCAGCGCGTCGCGTTTCCCCCGTCTCTAGCCCGTCGCGTTTCCCCCGTCGCCAGCCCGTCGCATTTCCCCACCCTCACCACCTCTGCCCGCGCCTACGCCTGCTGCCGAGTTTGCACGAGAGTGGGGAAGGGGGGGGGATGGCATCGGGAATGAAGGGGACAGCGACGGTGGCGGTCGTCGCGGCCCTTTCCCCCCCGTCCCGTTTTCTTCCTTCCCTTCGCCTCACTCTGCCTGTCATTCCCCCGGCTCCCTGCTCGTCACCCCCCCCCCCCCCCTCCGTCGCGACTGTTCGCGTGTGCAGCGGCGGTCGCTCTGGGTGGGAGAGGGAGGAGGGGAAGGGATTGGCGGCGGAACGCTGTGGGTGGGAAAGGGAAAGGGGGAAGGGAGTGGCGGCGGAATGCTGTGGGGGAGAGAGGAAAATGGGGAAGGGAGTGGCGGCGGAACAGCACCAGCGCCAGCCGCCAGCACCAGGCACCAGCACCAGCGCCAGCCACCAGCACCAGGAACCAGCACCAGCACTAAAGCCAGTCACCAGCACCAGCACCAGGCACCAGCACCAGCGTCAGCCGCCAGCACCAAGCGCCAGCACCAGCGCCAGCCGCCAGCACCAGGCACCAGCACCAGCGCCAGCCGCTAGCACCAGGCACCAGCGCCAGCACCAGGCACCAGCATCAGCGCCAGCCACCAGCACCAGGAACCAGCACCAGCACTGAAGCCAGTCACCAGCACCAGCACCGGCACCAACGCCGTTACGCCAGCACCACCCACCAAAACCAGCGCCAGTCTTCAGGCACCAGCACCAGTGCCAGCCGCCAGCACCAGGCACCAGTGCCAGCCGCCAGCACCAGGCACCAGCACCAGCGCCAGCCGCCAGCACCAGGCGCCAGCGCCAGCCACCAACACCAGGCACCAGCACCAGTGCCAGCCGCCAGCACCAGGCACCAGCACCAGCGCCAGCCGCCAGCACCAGGCACCAGCACCAGCGCCAGCCGCCAGCACCAGGCACCAGCACCAGCGCTAGCCACCAACACCAGGCACCAGCACCAGCGCCAGTCACCAGCACCAGGCACCAGCGCCAGCGCCAGCACCAGGCACCAGCACCAGCGCCAGCCGCCAGCACCAGGCACCAGCGCCACCTGTGACCAGCAGCCCCACCTGTGACCAGCAGCCCCACCTGTGACCAGCAGCCCCACCTGTGACCATCAGCCCCACCCGAGACCAGCAGCCCCACCTGTGACCAGCAGCCCCACCTGTGACCAGCAGCCCCACCCGTGACCAGCAGCCCCACCTGTGACCAGCAGCCCCACCTGTGACCAGCAGCCCCACCTGTGACCAGCAGCCCCACCTGTGACAAACAGCCCCACCTGTGACCAGCAGCCCCACCTGTGACCAGCAGCCCCACCCGTGACCAGCAGCCCCACCTGTGACCAGCAGCCCTACCTATGACCAGCAGCCCCGCTTGTGAAGAATTGGACAGGGACCATCGTGGGTGGGGAGGGGTCTGGAGGAAGAAAAGGGGGGAGGGAGTGCAGTTCCAGGGGGCGGTTGAAATGGGGGGTGAGGTTACAGAGGGTTGGTTGATTGGGGGTGGGGATGTGGGGGTTAGTAAGAGGGGACGTTGCGGCCACCCCCCCACCTCCACTCCTCATCCCCCACTCAACCCCCCTTGTGTAAAAGGGGGTTAGTAAGAGGGGACACCGTGGCCACCCCCCCACCTCCTCTCCTCATCCCTCACTCTTCCTTTGTTCTTCTCCTCTCCTCCCCTGTCTCTCTCTCGCCTCCTCCTCCTCACTTACCTCTCTACTGTCTTTCACAACGCCTGCAATACCCCTTCAGGGGGTGTGACTTACTCTAGCTATGTGCTGCAGGCAGTTAAGGGGGTGTGTCGCGATATATATTTATATATGTTTATAACAGCCTATAGCTTTAGCTCTAGTGTAGTTAAGTTTTCTTGTTGGTGGTGCACCTTTGCTAGTTTGCTATATGTACCTTGTGTGCTATAGTGAACGACACACATTCATCAATTCTCCTTGGTGACAACCACCTCGACACCCGCTTGGCCTAGGCTACTAAGCCTAGGCCCTTAGTAAACCCCGGTTCCTAGTTAACTTAGTATTGTAACACCTCGTGTACGTCGACGACTTGGTCTTTGCCACTGCTGACACTACTGGACTGGCCAACGTGAAGTCGGAGCTGCAGAGGAAACACACGTGCATGAACATGGGTGAGTTGCGCATCTATCTTGGCTTGCAGATCACCTGGGACACAGCACAGCGCACCATTACCTTGACTTAGTCACACATGGTGCAGCAAGTCCTTCAGCGCTTCGACTTCCAGTACTCCTTGCCACACTCCACTCCTCTGCCTACCGGTCACTCGCTCTCAGCTCTACCTTCAAATGAGTCCGTAGAGCCAAGTGGCCCGTATCCAGAGCTTGTGGGCTGCCTCATGTACCTGATGACCTGCACTCTACCTAACCTTGCTTACCCTCTTAGCATCATGGCACGCTACGTTGCGCGCGGGAGACACCGACCAGAGCACTGGAAGGCCACTAAGAGGGTGATGAGCTACTTGTGCTGTATGTCGGGCATGGGGCTCGTGCTTGGAGGACGGGCTCGAGTTGTCCTCACTGATCACGCAGACGCTTCTTGGGTTGACGACTTGGCTACGCAGCGGTCGTCACAGGGTTACACCTTCATCCTTGGCTCCGGTTCTGTTTCGTCGCGGTCCACCTGCTCGTCTTCTGTTCTCAGCTCTAGTTGTGAGGCTGAGATCTACGCAGGAGCCATGGATGCACAAGAGTTACGCTGGCTTACCTATTTGCTGGCCGACTTGGGAGATCCGCCTCATTCTCCTCCAATTCTGTACGTCGACAACAAGGCCATGATTGCCTTGTGTCAGGAGCATAGCTGGAGCACAGAATGAAGCACATCGCTCTGCGCTACTTCCTTGCTCAAGATTTGCAGCAGCGTGGTCAGCTTCGTCTTGCTTACGTGGCCTCTCAAGCCAACACTGCTGATATCTTCACCAAGGCACTTCAGCCTGGTGATCATCCGCGTTTTTGTACTGTTCTAGGCCTTGTGCCTACTTTGCCTCACTTGCTCACTTCTTGACTTTGCCTATACTGTGATCTAAATACTTGTACTTGCATGCTTACACTTGTTAGGTTGTGATCAATATGCTGCTTGTTCTCGTATATATCCAACTCTGCGTGTGAACTGGCCTTGTCGCCTTTTGCTTGTGCTCAGAATGCATGGTGACTTCGTGATCCACCCTGAGCTTGCTTTGACTTTCTTGACTGGTCTTGTGACCTCTTGTTCTCCCCCACTTTGCCTATGGGGGTGTGTCAAAGTCATGTGCTGCTTATTGTGTAGGCTGTAGTGGGGTAGCCCATATGGGGTAAACCCAATTAGGGTTCCTACTTGTACCCATCCTGCTGCTTGTTCATCCATTCCTGTTTGTTATTCTGACACTCCAAGGCCCCCTTATTTCGACGCTCCAACTCTTCATCTTGAAGAAGTAGCGGAACAAGATCCATACTAGGCGACGCACGACACCAACTAGGGTGGTCCTCCTCTTCCAGACCAATATCCGTACAAGCCTGCACAACAAGAAGAAGGGTCAGAAGGCTGGACTTACGAATTCGGTGGAGCAATTCAACTACCCGAACCTACTGAAGAAGTGCCACCACCGGATAAGGACCCCAACTAGTTCCGGTCGCCAGCAATGAATACCTTTATCATCGTGCCCCAATGGAGGGACTTCCAGCTTCCAAATGGCCTGAGGCGGCACGACGCCCGCGACTGCTCGTCACTAGCGACCCGATTCACACCGCTGATACGGACGATGTCGCTGGGATTCCCGAAGCCGTTCTCGAACGAGCCTTCACGGCATCGCCATGACCGAGTCCCTCCTTGCCTTCTACGCCAGCTCCCTCAGGTACGATCGTAACCCTCTCCTTCCATCCCGCCCCTCCGATCCACCTCTGGATGTTCGTCTGTGGCACATGCTGCATATGGGTGTGGCGTTTGGCATCATCATGATCGAGTCCGAGTAACACCCATACTCACCTTCTGCTCTAGTTCCCCAGATGAGTCCAATCTCTCCTTGCTCTATGCTTGGTATAACAACTAGCTGCTACCCACCCAGCTGGCCACCCATCTCCGGCTCTTCTCTGGCATATGCTCTTGCTTCTATGGTTCGCGTTTCGTGTCCCCATCACGCACTCCCATCTCTCGCTTTCTGCCGCAACTTGGGGGGGTTGAATTATAGAAGCTTAGAAGCTGCTCCTTCTAGTTGCACCCCGCCTTGCTGGCCCTCTAGTTTCCATCATGCTACGATTTTCAATGAGCATCTGCGACTGAACCGCGCGTGATTGCAATCCGTGTGACTATCGTTTCTGGTCACTGCAGAGCGACCGTGTATGCCAAGTGGGTGCACCTGGCGTGGCAGGTGATCGCACTCATCCTGACAGCAGTGGCAATGGTGGCTATCGTTGCCTCCAAAGAGACGAATCACAAGCACATGCAATCCGTGCACTCCTAGTGTGGCGTGCTCACTCTCTCACTCTTTGCTGTTCAGGTGCGTGGGCTTGCATCAAGGATGCGATAATTCACCATCCCATGTTGCGAGCTTAGTGCTATGGTCTTGAGCAGATTCGATCTGATGTGTTCTGATCTGATCTGCTTTTATCCTTTCATATCATCACGAGAGATATGAACACGTGAAGAGTTCTCCTTATGAAGTCTGTAATGCCATGCTGTGCACCATTCTGTGTGCCATGCTGCCCCTCTCCATGCACTTCGTGTGGGGGCTGTGTGCATTCATGCTGTTCAAAAGCCGCCTGTCGGAAGCTCCGAGACGTCTCAAAATTGTGTGACGTGCTGCCCCTCTCCCTGCTCTGCAGTTCGTGTGGGGATTGTGCGCCTTCGTGCTGTTCAAGAGCCGCCTGTCGGAAGCCACGCGGTACCATATGGGCACGTACCACATCCTGATTGGGAAGTTCACCTACTATGCTGGCATCGGCACATGCGTGGTGAGTGTGACACCCACCAGTCACCGATGCCATGCTTGCTGCTGCACTTTGTGCATGCTGAAGCCACGTGGTACCAGATGGGTACGTGCCATTGGCAAGTTCACCTACTATGCTCGCATTGGCTTGTGTGTGGTGAGTGTCGCAACGGTACCCTTAGTTAGCATGCTTGCTGCTGCTGTGCTGGGAACGCTGATCCTGGCCCTGGCTTTCTCTCCCTGCTCTGTAGCAGGTGTGGTGGGCGATGCTGAGAGGGAGGAGGAGCGGGAGGGTTGGAAGGGTGGAGTGAAAGGACTACAGCTCTGGATGAATGGTATCTGCTTCTTGCTTAGGGCCGGAAATCTCATGTCATTCTCTGCCTTGTTGCCACTGCTCTTGGTGTGCAGAACGGGTTTGCGGTCATGCAGGTGGTGATGGTGCAAGTGGGACAGCCGCACTACGGCAGTGCGAGCATGGCTGAGAGCTGGGCGTCGCTCTTCCTCTGGCTCACCTCCGCTGCTGTGTTTGGCGCCATTACAACTTCCAGGACTGCCGAGCTCGTCACTGACTCCAATGAGAAGGATGATGGAAAGAGAGTTGCGGTGTAGGTTGGGTTGTATCTGTTGGGCTGAGTGCCCCTTAGGATCTTTGGTAGGGTTAAACTCTGGGTAGAGTGATGTAGTAGCGGAAGCGTTTAAATGAAGTCCTTGAACCACCTTGCACGGGTATGTGAGAGCAAAGTAAGTTGATTAAAACAAGCAAGTACAAAGGTTTATATAAGAGTACAAGGAATACGAAGAGATATAATTAAACTGTTTTACTGTTGCGGTTCGATACAGTGCGACTCGGGCAACTGCTCAATGTCGAGTCAGTTGTGTGAGTCGACCAGTGCAGCATGGTCGACCGCGTTCCAGCACGACTTGGTCGACCGCGCCACAGCAGTGCAAAGTCGACGGCGTGCCAACGCTGCAGGTCGACGGCGTGCCAGCGTTGCTCCCGCAGAACAGCAGCGCACCAGCTTCGTTGGTGCTCGTAGATGATTGGCGTGCTGAGCCTCGTCACCTGCACAACGCACACGCCAAGTCATCCTCGTGCCGACGACTCCACCTGATCCGCCACGTCGACCTCGGGATACCACACCGAGGTCAGTCTCGCCAACATCGCCTGGGCGACCGTCGCACTCTTATGCACAACCTCGTCACCCAGGTAACCTGGCCGAACGGGCAACCATGTCGACCAGGTGCTCCTGGATGTGCCCGTAGACCTCCCAAGTTGACGGCCACCTCCAGTCAACCTCACCAGGTCGACCATACCCCTGGTCGACCAGCTCAGGTCGACGTCACTCCTGGTCGACCAGGTCCACGTTGACCAGCACAGTCGTCAGCCGACCACCCAAGCCGGCTACCAGAAATCGGCGTCACCAAGTCGGCGCCGACTTTCGGGCCGACCTCTTGAAGTCGGCGACCTTGCAAGTCGGCGACCTTGCGAGTCGGCGACCTTGCGAGTCGGCGACCTTGCGAGTCGGTGACCTTGCAAGTCGGTGACCTTGCAAGTCGGTGACCTTGCAAGTCGGTGACCTTGAAAGCCGGTAACCTTGCAAGTCGGCGCCGACTTCCAGGTCGACGTGCCACATCGCCG